GCTCCTAGAGCTGCTGATATATCATCCAGTTTTTAAAAAATCCATTAACAGTCTAATGTGTGCAAGGATTCGTGCCAGATATGGGGGGATATACAGATAGAGATGATAATCTTACTCCCAAGGAATTTATAATTTATTGGGGGGAGGGAGGGAAGAAAAGAGAAGTATATTAAGAAATGAAGTGTGAAGGGCAAATGGAGACAAAATGACAAGAAATTTAAGGAGGCTCAAAAGAGACATTCTTCCATTATGTTAACAATAAACTACAAAAGTAGAAAGTAACACGTGCTATTAGTTACAAACCAGCAATTATTAGCAGGTTTTACTTAAATGTTCTGGATAATTTACTTTGTAAGGTTTGTTGGGAAGTGTCTATTGTTGCAACAATGTTTCAGCTCATTAATACTTGCAAAACAGTTATGGAAATATACAGGGTGCTAGGGGGCGCAAGGAATAGAGTATTAAGCCTGGTGTCAGAAGACTTCCTGAGTTCAAATCTGGCTTCAGACACTAGCCGTGTAACCCTGAGTAAGGCACTTAACCCTGTTTGCCTCAGTTTCCTCATCTACAAAATGAGCTGGAGAAGGAAATGGCAAACCACTCCAGTATCTTTGCCACGAAAACCCCAAATGGGGTCACAAAGAGTCAGACATGACTGAAAGAACTCAGTAACATAGGAATATACACACAAAAGACAATGAGAAAAGAAAAATGACTTTCAGCTGGAGGTGAGGAGTAACGTGGATTATAGAAGGCTTTGTTCAAGACATGGCACCTAATTCAGAGCTTTAGGAAAGGTGAGGAAGGTTTAAATAGAGTATCCAAGTACCATGGATAACATAAACAAAGATAATGCAGCTGGGAAAAGATTTGTACAGATTTTCCCCTTAAACATTCCTTTTCACAATAGGTTTTCTCAAGGTTCAGTTCAATTACTATTGATCCTTATTTCCTTGGTTACTGGGGGAAATCTCAATAAAAATGAATTTATATATATTTTGTATTTACTTATCTGCATACCCATTTTTCACCTTTGCAATATCTCCTGAACACATCTCTAGTGTTGGCCCTCATCACCTCAGTCCTGGACTATTCCAATAGCCTGCTGGTGGGTTTGCCTGTCTCAAGTCTCTACTCCAATCTACCTTCCATTCAGCTACTAAAGTGATTTTCCTAAAACGAAGGTCTAATCATCTCACGCTCATACTTCAGTGGCTCCCTATTGCCTCCAGGATCAAATTAAAAAGGCTCTATCTGGTATTCAGTCTTTGAAACCCAGCCACCTCCTACCTTTCCAATCTTTTTCTACCTTACTTCCTCATACATACTACATGATACAGTGACACTGGCCTCCTGGTTGTTCCATGAATAAGCCAGATCCATCTCTAAGCATTTGTCTCCCATGTTTGGAATATTCTCTCTCCTCTCCTCCAACTACTGACATCTTGCCTTCCTTTAGTCCCAACTCCACCTTCTATAAGAAGCCTTCCCTAACTCCTCTTAATTCTAGTGCCTTATTTATCCTACATATAGCTTGATTTGTATCTATTTGTTTGCAGGTTATCTCATGTAAGTTTCTTGAGGGCAAGCATTATCTTTTACCTCCTTTTGCATCCCTGCTTAGCACAGTGCCTGGCACATAGCAGGCGCTTTATGAATGTTTAGTGATCGATATAATGTTAGCTCCTTGAAGCTCGGACTGTTTCTTTTTTTCTTTTCTGTCTGTCTCCAGTGCCTTGCAGTTCCTGCTACATAGCAGTAGCCTAATAAATACTGGTTGAATGAAATGGCAAAACAGAATAGTAATTTTAATTTAGTCAAGATATAAATAAAGTATGTGAAGGGAAGTAGTATGAACTAAGGCTACAGAGGGTAGATTGTGGAGGACCCTAAAAACCAGGACAAGGAGTTTATATTTTATTGGGAGTAGGCAATGGAGTGCCAGGAAAGAGCTGGGCCCAGAGCAGTGATGTGATCAGGGTTATGTTTTCCTCATTTGTTGGACTACAAGATGTCTAAGGTCCTTTTTAGCTTCGATGTTCCATGATCTCACAGGAGGATTACTGTGTTAGTGGAATGAAAAGCAGATTGAATGAGGGCAAAGAGATTGATAGGCAACAATTTAAGTGAGAACCACAGCTGTTGTAGTGAGAGAGACTGCCAACCCTGAAAGGACTTGTCAAATAGATGGGTGGGCTGAGGAAAGGGAAATAGAGTCAAGTTGACTGGAAGGTCTCAAGTAGTGGAGGATCAAATCGTGGCAATGTTGTCTACAAAAATAATGGGGGAAGAAAAGCATCATCAAAGCAAACTTTTGAGCCCCCATATGTGAGGCACTATCAATCAATCAATCAATACCTGATATTTGCTTATTAATCACTTATTATATGCCAGATACTTGGCTAAGTACTGGGATAAAATCGAAGCAAAAGTATAAACACAGTCCTTGCCCTTAAGAAACATATAGACTTATGGGGGAGACAATCTGTTAATGAATAGGCACACATACAATATGTACAGAGTAGAAAAGAGGTAACTTTAGAGGAGATGGCTCAAATGATTGGAGGGGACTGGGGAAGGCCTCTTGAAACAGGCAGCATTTGAACTGAAAGAAGTCAGAGATGTCAAGAGGTGGAGGTGAAGAGGGAAAACATTCCAGGAACGGGGACAGCCAGGGAAAGTCATCAAGGGCAAAAAATAGCAAGGAGGTGGTGTCACTGGACCATAGAGTGAATAGAGAGGTGTAAGATTGAAATAAATAGTAGGAAGGGGCCAGGTTATGAAGATCTTAGTGCCAAACCAAAGACTTAATATTTGATCCTGGAGGTAGAAAGGAGCCAGCAATGCTTAAGGAGTGACATGGTCACACCTATGTGAAAATCCCTTTGGGATTTCCCAGAATGGGAAGAGACATAAAGCAGATCAACCAGAAGGTTACTGCAATAGTCCAGTGTAGACTAGGAATCACACAGGAATGATATTACTAAGTTAGAAATGACAAGATTTAGCAATTGATTGTATATGTAGAGTGAGAGGGAGGAGTAGAAGTGAACCCTGAAGTTGAGAGTTTTGGGGAAAAGATAATAAGCTCTATTTTGGACAAGTTGAGTTCTAAATGCCAATGAGAAATCCAGATTGAAAATATAGGACTAGGGCTCAGATAAGAAACTAAAGTAGGAAACACAGATCTGAAATAATCTCCATAGTGATAACTGAGGAGCTGAGGAGATAACTGAGACAGTATAGAGCAAGAAAAGGGCCCAGGACAGGCTTGGCGGCATATTCAAAAGTTAAGTGTGACCTGGATGAAGAGCCAGTAAAGTTTGAGGAGTACTCCAGGAGGAAGGAGAAGGAAGAACAAGCAATGTCAGGAAACCCCAGAGAAGCAATGGCAAAGACTACCTTACAAACTCATGTTCTTACCAGCAATCTAAAAGAAAATCTTAAAAAGTGCTAATGATTAATAAAAGAAGCTAAATTGAAAACCAAAAGTTATTATACTAATTGCATTCACCAATCAATCAGCATTTATTAAGTCTCTGTCATGTGCCAGGCACTGAGCTAAGTGCTGGGGATATAAATACAAAATAGAAGGAATGAATGAAAAACCATAGATTAAGTGCTTACTATATGTGAAGCACTGGAGTTACAAATAGAAAAAGCAGGTAATCTGTCCTCAAGGAGCTTACATTTTACTGTGCCATCGAAATTGAAAACAAAGTCAAAAAAGGTTCCAACCTAGGAAGAAAAAAATTGAACATCACAAAACAGAGTTCAAGCTGCATGTGATCTGACGAATTCAGTCAACTTGGCTCCCCAGTTTTATTTTCCTTAGAAGCTGGGCTCACCCTAGAGTCTGCATTAATTTGCTCCCTGACCCCACCCAGTCACCCCTTAGACAGCTATCAACTAGCTCTGTAAAGTATCTAGCTTAGGGAAAATTACACTATTAACATTGTGTCCCAACTAAAAGTCCCAACCAGGATTATCATGAGGAGGTCAGAGACTATAACTTACACGTCTAAGTAACCTGATGTAGATGATGATTAGAGAAGAGTTCTCTTTGGGTCATAGGTACAAGATACAAATTAGGAGATCTATATTACAAAAGCAACGCTACAACTAGTTAAAGGAAGCAAACTGAACAAAGTTTTACTGCACTGACTTCCGCTAACTTTAAAGTGATAGCAATTTTCAAAATCCACTCTCTTCACAGATGGTTTACCTAAAAAAATGCTTTTTACAGATTTTTGAGGGGGAGGCACGTCCCCTTAGAACCTACAACTTTTCAGCAGCAGAATCTGCTCAATAACATAGAAACTCATTTTGCCAAAAGGAGCAAAATGTCTAGTAGTCTAGTTGCTACACTTCTAGACGCCTTGTGTCACTCGCTGGTTAGAAAGGTTTGCTGATGTACCCACGCTGAAGAGCTGTAGAGTTTGACCTTGAATTTGGTTAAATGTAAACGGGGGGAAGTGTTTTCTTAAAGTTTATTCCGGGCTCCACCACGTTTGTCTCTCGGGAGCTGTCCTTTACCCAACTCCGTCCCCATCATGACTTAAAGCGAATCCCCCTCCTGCCCGGTCGGCTCTGGATCCCCGCTCCGCGGTCCCTCCCGCTCCTCCGGCGGGGAGGATGTGTCTGTGTCCGCCGGGGAAGGAGATGGAGGCGGCAGCGACAGGCAGATGAGAGGGCAGGGGCAGCCAGAGCGCCGTCTGCCTTCTTTCCTCCCGAACCAGGCCGGGCGCCGGAGGCGCGCGGTGCCCTAAGCAGCTGCCCGGTGCTGGGCGAGCTTCGGGGGCCGCCGCCGCCGCCGCCGCCGCCTCCCCCACCCCCCATGCGGCCGGGAACAGCAGCCGCAGCGCGTGCCCCGCGCTAGGCCTCACACCCGCGCGCCGGCTCCAGAGAGAGGCGGGCGGCGGCGGCGCTGCCCCGCTCTCGGCCTGCGCGCGCTCAGGCTCACGACCCCCCTCCTTCCCGCCCGCCCGCCCCACACTCACTGAACATCCCAGGCGGCTTCGGCTCCTCCTGCCGCCGCAGCCACCCGGAACCCGCCGCCTCTGCCTCCCTCGCCTCTGCGACACGTTCCCACCCGGACTGCCGATTCAGCCCGGCCCCCAGCTCCCGGTCCCCGCAGCCGCCACTGCGGCTCGAGGCGACCGCTCCATGACTGACTGACACGGAGCGGGCCGGCGGGGCTGGGCCGCTCAGACCCTGTAACGCGCAACCCCCTCCACCAATAGGCGAGCGGCCTCGGCGATTGGCTGGAAATGCCTGGCGTGCGTGACTCCCCACCCCTCCTCAGCCGGCCGGCGGCGTCTAGGCGGAAGGAACGTAGGCGGAGGTCCTGGGAACCTACCCACGTGGTTAGCAACGTGGGAATCTGAGCTTCTCCGCTGTGCAAGGGTGTTGAAACGGACTGCTCGGTGGGACGGTCAGTCAGCCCACCTTTCTTCTTCGTTCCTCTTCCGCAGGGACACCCCGTCTGGGTAAGTGTAGACCCCATTAGGGTGAGGAGTCTGGAGGTGGTCGCTGTCCTTCCTGGGAACTGTCCTTCCTGACCCCGCCCCCTCCTCTCTTTGCGGGACTCAGATTAGTTATATCAATAAAGCATTAATTGAATCCCAACTATGCCCCTGTACCTTAGCCTCTGTGCTTTTCGGTACGCGGGCGTACTTTGTTGCATCTTAATTTCTGCCGACTGTCTCTTTACCCCCGTTTTGTCATCTCCGTTACAGAGTCACTGGGGACGTCACTGGGGACAATTGCTTAAGCAGCCAGTCAACCTAACTGTATAATATTGGAAATTTTTGTTTTGTAAATTTACAAAAAGTCTATTTAGGGTGCTTTGAATAACAGGTGTAAACAACTGGAAGTGTCTTTACATTTAAAGAAACCATTGCTTTTCCCAATGGATCTTTGCCTTCAGGAATGTGACGAATGTACTGTTTTCATAGAAGACGTGTACAGAAATTCATCACTTAATTTTCTTCTGATCTAAAAAAGAAATGTGAAAACAAAATTGAGTGTTTTGATTTCTGCGAGACTGTATGTAAGTTCATTCAACATTTATTTCGAACGAAAGTAGGTCCAATCCTGAGGCTAGTAGAGAAGAAGAGAAGTTGGCAAATGAGAGTAAATCTTGAAGCTCACTGAAACAGAATGTTTATGTGTGTGCATATAGTGTAGCTTAGTGAATTTTTGTCAGGATTTTCCTGTAGTTCATGGAACTTTGTTAACAGAATCACAATATTTTTATATTTATGTTTGTTGATGATAATAATGTACTTTTTCTAGACATTAACCTAGATAGACTATTTCATGTAAGCCCAATTGATAACTGTGTCTTATTGTCTTTTTAGTGCTTGTGAGGTTTGCTCTTAATATTTTTTTCCCCTAACATTTCTTATTACAGAGAGAGTATTTGTCATAATGGCTGCTATTTATTCTGGTATATCCCTTAAATTGAAAAGTAGCAAAACTGCCTGGGAAGACAAACTGAAATTGGCTCACTTTGCATGGATTTCCCATCAGTGTTTTCTTCCAAATAAAGAACAAGTAAGTCTAAACTGAGGTGTTTCACAAGATTTTTTCTTTTTTGGTGTTAGTGTTATTATGAAAATAGTTTTGATGTAGTGGACATACTTTGAGAGCCCCTGTTCTTGAGTAATGTTATATACTTAGGTTTTGATATTATAATATAAGGTGTATGTTATACCTTAACTTTGAATTGTTGCAGATCAATACTTTGTCTGCAATATAGAGTTTTAGAATTGCCTGAAACACTGAAAAGTTAAATGACTTGCCAGGGGTCACAGCCAGTATCCATCAGAAGAACTTGAACCCAGATCTTCCTGACTCAGCAACCAGTTTTCTTATCCACTTTGTCCTGTTGACACTTGTGTTAATTAAGATGTAGATAAACTGGATATAGAAGGCATTTCCTTAAGGTCACATAGAAAATATGATAATAGAATCTAGGTTGCTTCTATTGAGGAACTTTTTCTACTCTTCATTGTACATCCTTAGTAATAGTAATAACAATAGCTTATTTGTACAGTACTTTAAAGTTTACAAAATATTTAAATATATTTCATCCCCACTTTTATGCTCACAACAACCTTTTGAATAATCTTACTAGTTATTGTTGTGACTGTTGTAAAGATGTAGAAACTGAGGCACAGAGAAGTTGTGAGTTGGTATGGAGAATGGAATCGCATCAAACACTTAATTGCTGTGTGATCTTGGAAAGTGACTTAACTTCGCTGGGCCTAAGTTTCCTCATCTGTAAAATGGGGATAATGATAGCACCTGCCTCCTAAGGTTGTTGTGAAGCTCAAAAGAGATAATACGTGCAAAGTGCTTTGCGAACCTTAAAATGCTACATAAATAAATGCTGCGCATTAGGATAGAAAATTTTAATTTTTTTCCCCAGTCTGCTGTATTTGAGTTGATCATTGATATAGAACAAGAGCATTTCTCTTTCTGGTTTTTATATATATCTCATTTAGGAAGTTATATTTATCATTAGGGTCTTAAGAAAACCTGAAGGTCTTCAGGTTAAGAAGTTATACCATGTGTAACAACTTGGAAAGGTTGATCAAAATATAGTTTTACCAAGAGGAAAAAAAATTTGTGATGATCAGCCATGGTTTTTGAAGTTTTAAGCTGCTTAAAGCCAGGGGCCATATCTTCTACTTACTAATAAAAATGATACCATTAATATATAAATGATACTCCTTATCTACTATCATTTGGACACACATATTAATTTATTTTCTAGAAATGGTGATGGTTTTGCTGTGAACTAACCACATTGTCTCTTCTGGTCCCCCTTGTGATCTCCTGGTATCCCTTGTGATTGCAAAGGTCAAGAGCTAGCACTAAGTGTGTGGTCCAAGGCTATGGAACAAAGCAGGACTTTGGCCCTTTGGATTTGAAGACTTTGTGTTCTGTAATACCACTAGTAAACTATCTGATATATTTAGCCACAGATTAGATTCCCTCCAAGTTTTCATTGATCATTTACTATTTGCCAGTATTCTATTTCTGGAGCATCTACAGTAGCTGTTCTCAATCTTTTTGGTCTCAGAACTTAAAAATTATTGAGGACCCCAAAGAACTCTTGTGTGTTATATCTATCAGTGTTTACTGTTTTAGAAATTAAAAGCAATAAATTTTTATGAGTTCATTTAAAATGACAATGATAAACCCATTACATGTTAATATAATTAACATTTTATACAAAATAAATCTTTTCTAAAACAAAAAAAATAATATGAAGAGAGCTGGTGTTTTACTTATTTTTGCAAATCCTTGTAATATCTGACATAATAAAAGCCAGCAAGATTTTTATATCTGCTTCTGCATCCAGTCTGTTGCAGTGTTCCTTTAGTGAAATATGTGGAGAAAACCTGGCCTCACACAGATATATAGTTGGAAGAGGAAGGCATGTAATAGACAAATAGCATCTTAGTATTATTATCTAAATAGTTTTGATGTCATGGACATACTTTGAGATCCCTTGATCTTTTTTTTTTTTTTTGGCAAGGCGGTTGGGGTTAAGTGACTTGCCCAGGGGTCACACAGCTAGTGTCAAGCGTCTGAGACCAGATTTGAACTCAGATCCTTCTAACTCCTGGGTAGATGCTCACTGCACCACCTAGCTGCTGGAGAGATCCCTAATCTTCAGTAATGATATGTACATATGTCCTCAGAAGCCACCATATGATGATTACAATCTCTCATTCCTTTCCCTCAAGTAACATTGAAATAAAAAGGATGCCATATAGGGACACACAGAGAACTGTACCCTGTTCCAGCAATCATCTTCTTCACCACTTATCTCAATTCATCCTATTCCTAACATTTATAACCTCATTAGTAATGTTCCTACAGCTTTTTGTTAGTGGTCAATAAATCTGATTTTGTAGGTGAAATTTGTTTTGCCTGAATCTGCTTTGCAACATGACAGTTCCCTGCAACTGCTGTTGTGCCTTTGAAATAAAATGTAATTTAAAGATGAAAAATGTGAGGGCTTCAGCAGTGTTTTTTCCCCTCAACTCTCAATGAAGGAGAAAAAAGTTCAAAGGGATTTTTTTCTTTGGATTTTTACTTTTTTAGAAAAATAAATTAAAGTATGTAATTATCTCTCAAAGCTCTTATTGTCAAAGTTGAATTATGAAAGGTGGATTTTATATGACAGATATTTGAGCTTAAATAAAAGTTTTTTAGTTTTGGTTGTTTTTTTTTTTTGGTGAAACAATTGGGGTTGTGACTTGCCTAGCGTCACACAGCTAGTGAGTGTTTTGTGTCTGAGGTCACATTTGAACTCAGGTTCTCCTGACTCCAAGGCCTATGCTCTATCCGCTGCACCACCTAGCTGTCCCAAAAGTCTGTTTTAAAACCCCGCCCCCCATTTCTTAAATTTTTGTTATAAATACTACATGTCATTTTTTTCTAATGAAATAATATTCTTTTCACAATATTAATTCCCTTCAAATGTAGGTATTACTTGACTGGGCAAGACACAGTTTGGTTACATATTACAAGAAAAAACTTGAACTGAAGGAGGACATTGTTGAAAGACTTTGGATCTACTTGGATAACATCCTGCACAGCAGAAAATTACAGAACCTCATCAAGAATGGAAAGACAGTAAACCTCCATTTTTCACTAGCCAAGGTAATGCTTACTCATGTTATCCCACAAATGATTTTTATTTTCCCTTGCACCCCGTTGTTAGTATCTTACATCTCAAGGTAGCATGAAATGATTTTCTGTTTGAAACTCAATCAGTAAGCCTTTATTAAGTATTTAAAATGTCAGACACTGTACTAAGCTAAGCTCTGAGGATACAGAGAAAGGGGAAAACAACCCTTGCCCATAAGGCGTTTACATTTTAATGGGAGTGTAAAAGGAATAGATACATACAAGATACAGAACAGATAGAAGGTCACAGATTAAGGCTGAGAGCAAGACCTGCTGGATTGTGATCTTCATAGACCGTCAAAGTTGAAGAAAGTTTAGCCATCTAGTCACCTCGTTTTACAGAGAAGGAAACTGAAGTCCACAGAGATGGAATGAGGTTGCCACTAGTGCACAGAACGCCAGGCATGGAGTCAGGATGACTTGAGTTCAAATCTAGCCACAGATACTTACTAGCTATGTGACTCTGGGCAAGTCATATAACTGCTGCCTGCTTCAGTTTCCTCATCTGTAAAATGGGGATAATGATA